GAATGCGTTAAAGAATAGGGTTTATCGTAGGCCAACAACCGTTTCTTTCAAAAGAGTGGAACCCGTATACGGATGTTTGTACGCAACGCAGTATGGAGAGGGAATAGATTACCACAATTACTACGTACCCCGAAGTAACCACTGCACACAACTGCTCAGAGAAGATAAAGCCGCACATCAGCATTCGAAGACGACAAGGTTCAGGGCTAAGCACACATTTCTGAACAAACATTTTAACTGGTTTCGCCAAATTTGGCAAGGAATTGTCTACTAAGCATGCTGATGGCCCAATACGAATGAATTCAGTTGCAGAAAACGCGTTGCGGACGCCACATGCTCTAACACCTCAAGGACATTTACCGGTAGGTTATTTTCAAGCTTTTGTTGTCCCTCCCCCACTATTCTCACGCATCTCTTTTACAGTTGACGCTGCTTTTCAAAACCTGATATCTCTTCGCCACCACATCTCCCGGGTGTCGGTTTAAATCGCTCAGAATCACGGAAAGCAGTAAGACAACTGGTGTAATTTCGGGTCATTTTGTCCAGCTCTACTAAGGCAAGAACCAAATTCCTGACATCTGGAAACATGATATAATAACGGATTTACAAATGCGAAATCAGAACTGCACATCCAAAATATCCAACATTAATTATTCTTTTTGTACTGTCTGAGTTACTGAAATAGTTACTTATTCATTGGTGTGTTATCTGCAAAATTATTGCTGCCGAGCAATCCGGCATGAGTTGGAAGCAACCAGACTTAACCTAGCTATTAATCGCTCGGAGTATTTGGACCTAGCCTGCTGACGATGGTGATGACCTTGAAGAACTTGGAATTATCGAAGGCATTCGATCCTAAATACCATTGCTTTCGCTTACTAATGTCCAATATAAGAACATCACTGGCACTCACTTCAGCTGAATCGCCAAGTTTTTCTTTTAAAGACAAGTAGTGATTAGAGGCCGGAGCTTCTTATCTGACCCCATATCATTCGAGTATGATGTACCCCAGGGACCAATTCTATTATCGCGATCGCCGCTGATATGTTTTGATGCCTTCGCACAGGTAAACCCTTAAATTTTCATACATGTTTTTAAAGAAATCAAGATATGCGCAAGATTCAGGCGGAGCTCGATCAAAGTTTCTTTGGCGTGAACTAATTAAGGTATATCAGTATGTACTCCGAAAGCTACTGCAGTTGGACGCGAACAAATGCAACGTAACCTCGATTCGCCACTCGAGAATCTACTATAACAAGTTAGAAACGCAATTAATGCATTGATCCTCCCTCGATAGTGACCTGGTTGTGCAGGATCAGCATCACTTCTGTTGTGCGTGACAATCCGAAAATGCATCGAATGCTGCTAACCAAAAAGTCGGTCTGTTACGACAGACCTGATAAACGTACATTACTAGTTCCTACAGCTTCTTAGCGAGTAAGTTTGCCCTTAATTTGAATATGCAATTCAAACCTGGCAGACATGGATGAACCATTATCTAACCGCATTACAACAATCTTAGGCCCGAGCTAACAAATTAATCATTACCATGCTCAATCGACCATATGAGCAAAGGCCGTAATGTTTGGGAATATTAATCTGACGGTACCACCGATTACGAGATGATGTGCTAATGGAGTACTAAATTTTACACAATTCAAATCATATCTACTACTCTGTACGGCAACTCAGCACTAACAAACACGTGAATGGTCAATCTGGATACTGACAGATCAGCCTTCCGGAGTACTATCGAAAGTCTAATTCTAACTAAGTCCGTCACCCGATGAACGCTGTCTTACCATCGGTCGTATCTGAAACTAAGATAGCCATAGTTAAATGTCGGTTCGACGTCGCACACAGCTACGTATATTTTGTCGTTTAGCACTATCGCTCCGTCATCTTCGCCGGAAATAACTTTATTCATTGTTTATCTTCTACTGAATCTTCGAATTTAGACGGAATGAGGAGAGTAAATACTAATGAAGTTTTCCATTAACATTTTTCGTTTACCCACTAGATCACAATGGGAATCGTATATCAGTGCTACTTTGTCGGTATAAACCCATTGTTCATTGTTATCTCCCTCACTTAATCATCATTGTCCACATCGATCGTTTACTTAAGATGACTCCTTTAAATGCCTATCATTCCAATACTTTGCATAAAATAATTGGATAAAATATATCCTGCCACACTACAGTAAAGCAGGTGCTTTGCAATAGTTTAGCAATGCGACAGCGAAGACGGTAGCAGTCACCAGAAGTTCTACCGTGACAGGTCGGATGAGTTGTCCAAGAAGGTAGCCGGTATAATTCGAAGGTTTTTTACTAATATTAAGAGTATTCTGAGATCGTCACCACCCAAACATTGCACTTAGATGAGATAAGGTATAGTCTCGTAGGTCCACAGAAGTAGACCGGTCCTGTTATCCGAGAAATTTTGTCAAGTACTTGGTATTCAGGAAAGAGGCGCTGCAGTTCCAAAGGGTTCGAGCTGTGTGTGTATAGATTGTGCAACTCCGTCGCATAAGGAAGGGCGCTAGTTTAATATTAATGAATGAGGTTGAACGCTTGTTAATCATAACAGAGAAAACCTATGTGTACTTTGTCAGAAGTCGAAACATTCGTCAATCCAATCTAAATTCCGCTTTGCTTGTGGTCTCTACTTGGTGGCTAGTCAAAAACCAACACAACGAGACGACAGGGTCTGAAAAGCAAGTAGCCTTTGAATTTATTCTCGTGAAACACCGTGGCGAATGCAAAGTCACGGTGATTAACCCTCGTCTTGATCCAGACTCCGGTATGTTGTTGACTGAAAAGCACTTGCTGCATGAAGTTCTCCTGCAAACCGAATCTACAATAGTTAGAATAGCTACCGTAATTTGAGTATCATGTGTGTTCTCCCAGGCAGTGAAATCAGAGTTTCTTCTGATGTATGCAGGTGAACCAAACTTCACGGACCCTGCCACGTGTCAAACGAGTAAATCGAGGTGTGTATAATGCTGGCAATGCATGAATGCCTTGTGGATCGTGGATAGACAAAATCGAAGCATTTGCAGTATAATTGAGATGAACCACTCACATGGGTACACGAGCAGCGCTATGGAATACACTCGGAACCGTTTGGAGTGCGGACACCATTTGGCTAGGTTCTGACCGACGCGGTTGGAGGATAAACCACACACGGTTCGCACAAATACTCCGTGGACGATTGTGGCCCTACCGTTATCATGCAGATGGAGTTCACCACACCATGTAATTTGCTACTCAAAATGCCAGCTAAAGACTAAAGCACGCCAAATCATATAGATACATCTATCGCTGTGTCTCCTACTAAATTATTGGTCTACCATGGAAACGTGGTACTTCGATGCTACCAAATAACTGTCTGTCGCTCAACATAGGCTGATACCGCTGGGAGAAAAGCCCCTTTTTGATAATAGATTGCACCAAATATATGATTTGGCTACCGCTTAATATATATGGAACAACTTTTTACAGCCATTTTTAGGGCCCTTTTATCCACGAAAAGGGAGCGTAGTTTATGTCTCACCCAGCTGTCATATATAACAACAGACCAGCTAAAGTCATCATCGTTTTAAATTACACAAACAATTCACAAAAGAACTTCCGAACTCAGAGTTGTTGAATTAACCTGCTTTCTTAACTATCTGGTAGGATTTTAATTAGAGTTCAGGAACAATAGATTTATCGCAGTCGTAGATAATGTCACAACTTGGAATCAAACGAATGTAGCGCCAGGTGGCTTAAAAGCCAATTGCGCGTGTCTCAAAAATGCCTTGCAACATGGTTCTCGTGTTATGCTTCAATATTTGTCTCAGTGCAGCCAATGGTTTGTGTAGAGAACATCAGAATTTCTGACAGGTAACTCTGCAAACAATAATTGAAGAGCCAGCTAGCCGTACTGCTTCGTCTAAGCTTTTAGTTTAGTCCCTGTCAATTAAACAAAATGCAATGTTTATCAGACCTCTCCTGCCACTCAAGCGTAGTTAGCCCCATTATCATTTGGCAAATTTTTACAAGCAATTCCAAAGCATGCCATGAAGACAATGGCCAAGACACCGCAGGAGTAATCGCTAACATCCAAGGAAAGAGTTTTGCAAGCAATAGCTTCTTATACCAACCGTCCTATTGCCTTGGCTCAGGTGTAACTCCCCAATGTCGGTATTAACAGTGTAGTGTCGGTTGCGAGGTTTGCCTCCATTGAATAGACCTATGTATTGATCCACATAACTGATTGCGTGTAAACACTACTGATGGGCTGTGTGTAACCCAAATTTCAGTAAAATATTGTGTTACTTATTTAGCTGCGGATAAATAATCACCTGATGATAATTGTTGTTATATGCTTTCTACAATAATCAGAATATTTAGGCATAAACATAAGCATGAGTAGCCAAAAGTGTTCACGACGACAAATACCATGCCTCCTCAGGAAAGACCGCTGTGCGAAAAGGTGAAGATTTCTACTTGCAAGAGGAAATCCATTTTGTATCGTTATGCATAGCTGCAACGACAGTCCTGTAGTTATCAAGCACCTGAGATAAACCAAGCAAGGTTGCACTCATTCCAACAAATGGACGATTGTTGAACGATAGCTTCACGTCGTCGACGGATGTCCTGACATACACATTTATATACCAACCACGGTGTTCCATCTCCTAAATTGAACCTTATTACTTAAGTCCAATAGTTGTGTACGCACAGTCTGCCAAGGGTATATTCTTCACATTCTTAGTAAGAGAGAAATTTAATTAAAGCTGTTGCGTTGCGAAGAAGAGTTGCAATCGGTTTCTTAGTCCGACAATAATAGTAAAAATATATTCATTGGGGTGCTGTAAGACGCGACTGTATTGCTGTAGTTAATATTGTTTCTGAGACCAATGTTGTTCTCAAGGCCAAGAGCTACTGGTATACAGCATATCGAGCTTGGCGTAAATAAGAATGATGTGATGTCAACGAGCAGAAGTAAGATGCTGAGAAATAAAACATGTATATTACAAATGCGGTTCAAGTTATCGTGAGCTTGCTCTGATGCATATTGGTCAAATTGTTCGCATTAAACTAAAAGCGAGAAAAATATAAAGGTATGGGGGAGTAGCATTGAAGGAACATCAAAATATATACACTTGCTCAGCATTCATACATTAGCAGCTAATAAGAGGAATCTTTGGGTTTGAAAATTACTGAATTTCAGAAGATCAGAATCCCTCATAATCACATCAACGGGAAGGTTAAACATCACACTTACATTTAATCTGCGCTTCCTGTTTGGTGCCACGGCAGAGTGCCATGCTTTGGATGAAATGGTTTGAAACACAGAGGCAATACTGCGATTTACCAGGACAATTTTCTTTTCCTCACTGCTGAATAAACGGCAAGAAGTTAGTAAAGTAAACTCTGGACTTACTTTGCCTCCTCGCTAGAACCTGTGGGCCAGAACATGATTTGTGTGCTGTGAAACTGTTCAGGTTAGCAATCAGCTCTATATTACAATTTATATGTTGATTTCTGACCTTGTTCACAACAGCCTTCAATCAACCAATCAGGGCCAGTTGATTCGTGAATTTGCCAATTGTATGCAGCTATTATCCGCCAATCACATGGGACCATTAGTTGATCATCTTGAACTGGGCCTGTTCTATTTTGCTGAACATCCGTAGCACCTGTGGACCAAAACCATCTGGTTGTTGATGCATTATGGTTAATTTTGTAGGCAGACGTATGATCCGTAGTTGCGAAAATATGCATTCAACTTGCCTAACGGAGTGTTGGAAAATGTGACGGCGGTATTCAGTCACAGATTGATTGTGTAGCTTTATACCATTGCAAAGAATATAATTTATCCTAGTGTACTCCAGTAATCGCTTTTTAATTATGTATCGCAGTTATTAACAAGTGTACCTATTAAGAATCCACCAGCTTTAGCCTTTCAATGCAAAGCCATTTGAACTCCCACTATTGTTATGTTATAATTTGAAAGCGTTGGCATGATATTTCAGATAATAAATCTAGGTAGAAAGTTATCCCAACTAGACTCAGTCAGTTATCACAAGCCCCCGACGGAGTGTACGGCCATTTCACACTTTCGCTAACCGTCAGCATGTGCTTTCATCTAAACGCTCTGTGACTAGAACACTTAATTCGAAATCGCCTGTCTGCGATTTGGACCGCTGAGCCAAGGGAGACAGTTACAACCTAGGGGCTTACGAGATATTACATAACGCTGCTCACTCATTTTCAGGTTCATTGTGCCTCATCAGCGACATCATTAAACTTTTCCTCTGCCACGGAGCAAACAGTTTCCTAGACGCAAGAACGACCAGATCAAATTAATGGAATACCTAACATGTAAAATATCTTCATTATGGACAGATGTACCAAGACTCTCAGTGGGAATCTTTCGGTGAGCGAGAAACAGAGGTTACCGGTGCTCAATATATCAGTTTAGCAATACAATGTAACAGCAGCTGCGTCGTGAGTGTGGTTTATAACCCTCATTTTATATTCAGTAATGGATTATTGCGCAATGTTGATGTTATCAGGACACACAGATACTAAATGAACATTATTGTTTTATGCAAATTCAAGGTATTTCATCTATAATTCAGGCCACCATGCAAATATCTTACGATGAACTGCAAAGTTCGGTCACAAGTAAGCAAAATATTCTAACAACCCACAGTATATTAAAGACTGTAAGTATTCTTTATGTACTCAACCTAATTATTGGCATAGAAATTAGTCATTTTATGTGCTTCCAACGTAGGTTTTGCATAGACAATAAGAAATATGATGATCTTAACTTACGAATAGACAAATACAGAGTTCTTTCGTTCGGTGCATTTGTAAGCGGATACAATTATAAATGCTGTTTTGTAGCAAGCACATTGCATCAAGCATTAAAAGACATACTTGTTATATTAGTTAAATCCCCTCATCAAAAAATGACTTTGGCCTAGTTACTTCTTTTTCACTAACTGCAGATGTACGAGTGTTCACAATGACTTTGTCCTCAAATCTAGTAACCATATTTTACTTATCAAAATGAGCACCAATAAATAAAGTTTTGTTCTGTGATCTCAATTTCACATCTGACACTAATTAACCAAATACGCTCCGTAGCCCAGGCAATTAGTTAACAGGGAAATGTGCTATCCTATGTTGATGGTTTTTCATCAGTATATTTCAGAACACAATAAAACGCAAATTAGCACACAGCCAAATGTTTAACACGGAAAAGTGTACTGAATTTAGAAACACGTTTGGTATTGGACTTCTGAATATTGTTCGTCATCTCAGTCCTCTAAACACAGGCCGGGAAGTGTGAACGTTTGTGCGCAGTCAAGTATCCACCTTGAGTTACTAGCATTTGACATTCTACCCTAGTTCCTCACTAAATCAACTAATGCAGCATGTCATTGCCTTCATGAGGTTTGCAACTCATAATGCGCCAAGATCAACGTATGCGCGTATCGGCACAACCGTCAGTCAAGTGGGTCAGAAAATTGCGTACTATGCACGTAATGCATTTCATGTTTAATAGTGAGGTCAAATTATCAGTAATAGTAGCATTAAGCAGTCAGAATTATTCATAAATCTTGGTTGAGAAATTAACCTTCAGAAATATATACATACTATAATTATTCCTTCGCACTAAGTTAGGCGTGTTTAATCAATGATGCAGCTTGAGCGTGTGAGATGCTTAATCTGTGTATTGGAAAAGGCTATCCTCAAATTTCCTCCTTAACTGCAATCGAAATGATGATAATTTTATTTGCTTACTGAGTAAGCATTTTTGCGATTTTAGTATGCATACGGACGAAATTTTCTCTATTATGGGTTACATGGGAACAAGCATCATATATTAAAGTCAACCAAATTTTATGGTTGTATCTGAAGAACGTGTGTTCCTTTATAGTTAGATTGCATTATTCTATTTGCGAAGGTGCAATCGCGTTAAGAAATCCCCATTAAATTAATGCGCAATTTTCATCTCGTATGCGACTAACTTAATTCTTATCAGTTTAGATATGTCCGGTTTAGTTCCAGGAACATTCAATTACCCGCACATTCACATGGAATATAATCAATAACCAACCAACAACTTAATTATGCGCTAGGCAATATTATAAGCGAAAACATATAAGCATCTGGAAAGGCGACGATTCGGTTGCAAGATCGTAAAACATTAAGCTAACTAACACAGGGCATTTTATTTTTCCGAATCGTAGCGAAATTTCTGTTTTGTGCTTGCTGACAAATGAAAGCGTAACGGAAAAGTATGCTTACCTAAAATTAATTTAGTCTATTTTTATATTGAGGTCGGGAACTCTACAATCATGTATACTACTCGGACGCTTTCCACACATTTCTGATCTTCTGATTTACGTTATGTTAAACAAAATTTTGTGCTGTTTGCCTCTCAGTTCTGTGCTTATTTAGATTTACAACCGATTGCAGCTTGCTTGATTGGATTTCACCTAGTTTTGATGCATCCGTATATGGTCTTCCCTATGACGCCATCAACCCATGCTTTCCAATCCAATGACTGAAATACTGCGCATGTTTCATAGGTCAAACAATCATATTAAAGCATTTATTCTCCATTAATTATGGGGATTCAAGTGTATCAATATGGTGTTTGCGCAGGAGACGCCAGGATTGGACCAGGTAAAACTCGTGACGCCTCCTGTGGTTGTTCAACAGCTGCGGTAAGATAGACGGCAGGATCATCGCAAACACACTTTGTAAGAGAAAAGTTGCTGCTTGTCTATTCTCGGTGCGTCTTCGGCCTGTTTCAAGTAATTAGGAGCATTCTGCACACGTACTCAAATTTTGCCTTCCTAGGAACCACGTTTAAACAGTTTGTTCTAAGTCGATATTCATGGGTTAGTTGATGCTATGTATCAATTGTTTTGCATCTCAGTACATCAAGCGCAAAATGTTTTCCTGACGGTGTAGTGTAGGAATGGCAGGTTTCTCTCTCGTGTCGTGTAAATTTTTCACTTTCTTTATGAAATTTCATATCTACATGTCGATTGCAAATAATAGGATTTCTGACTCGAACACGCTGGCAAAATATTTGTCGATGAATAGAAGTGGACATTGCTACATTCTCAGTTCGTGGAAAAGAAAACGGAATAATAACTAGAACAAAACTAAACATGAGGACCTCCACTTTATGTTGATGTCAAATGAGGAATTTGGCCATTCAACTTTGGATTGTGTCCTGACTCCATAGCTACGGAGCTTATGAGGAATAATGGGGAGGTCCATGCAATCAAACCTCGACTCCTACTCTGGCAACTAGTGATTCCTTCCACCTTGCTTAGGCTAGAGGAAATTTCCTAGTGCTGGCACGATTTCAGCAAATCCTTGCTGCTGTAAAAATGCAAATTTGTTGGTCTTTAAGTATCCTATGAGCTCTTCTGATGTAACAGATATAAATTTGCGAAGTACCTGGAGAGAGTTTTGGACGGCCTTACAATGGTTTCGCAAGCTTGCCACAATTGGAAATAGACTTGCTTATTCCATGTTGCTATTTAATTAATAAGGAAATAAATAGTTTTGTGCTTTTTGAAACGAGGCACACCAGTACAGGCGTAATGGAATGTTTGTTGGAGGCGATTTCAATACGCAAGTATTTTATTTAGACCCTTACACCGCAACATACCGGCTGCCTGTATAAACTGCTATTATTTGCACAAACGGCTTGGCTGAACTGGTTCTATCCGTGGCAATGAATGGCAGGATCCTAGGCCTAATGTTTGCTATGGGCCTCCCAAATCGCAGGTAATATCCGGTACAGCCTACCGGAGAGTGAACACAACTTCATGGTATTAGATATCATGTTACTTACCAGAGTGATTTAAGCCTAATTGTGCCTTATGTTTCACCGGCAATATATCTTGAATGACTGCGAAATATATGTACACCTGCTAAGACGGAATCAGTGGGATGCAACGTTTCATACCTTTGACCCAGAAGTAGCAATGGAAGCATGTTATGGGGATATAAATGTATGCCTATGCATTCTTGCCTGTCTAAACCGGAAGAGACCCCACATGCATGAACGAAGCAGCATTACTTCCGCTAACCCTAAATAGGGCAATCAATAGGATTGTCAGAGCCTACCTTGGCACTCATATTTTGATTACACTATCAAATTTACAAACAACATAATACATCGCGTGTACGCAGAGTTGAAAAAACGCATCTCTGTTAAACGCCGAACTCTAACCCTCTTAAGCTTTGTGTCCTGGCGGTAGTTATAAGTATCGCTTTTTAAAGTTTAATACTGCTTCCGTGCAAGCGTTATTCCTGCCAGTACTCTCGAGGATACGTACAATAGTCTTCTGCCAACGAGTAAGTAAACGCCAGAACTCCGATGATTACTTTACAGTGTGTGGAGTAAAATGTTGATGTTCGTGTCGAGCTATAGTAAATTATTTCAGGATTGACAG